TTTCTGCACCGGTGCTAACTGGGCAGTGCCGATGAAACCGTTATTCGTTTGAATTAAAGGAATAGCCTAGGTGTAATAGCATATGTTCCTCTCAATGAATCCATTGCAGGCCATGTATCCTTGGAATTGCGTTCGGTAGCTAAGACACCCGGTATGTTCATTGACTGCCCTAGATGCAAGACCCGGTGTGTTCGTGGACAGCCCTAACTTTGGTTTATAATGAAAGAACTGTCGGTGCGTCCTTTGGAGCCAACGGATTAACGATAGTGTCTGTGGTTAGGCCAGACCTGTAGCTCTGAGTACCAATCGTCAGGGTACACAGAATAATGTAAGCATGCTTACTCTCAGAGGTAGTAAGCCAACAAATATGCCCCGACAAATTTGTGGTTGCCACTGTTAGCCTATTCCGGCTGCAAAGGGTTTCGAAGAAGGCCATGAAAAGATTAGGGAAATTTTTTCGAGTGGCCACTGATCCGGTGTTTCCACTAGACTCGGGCAATGCTCCGAAGATATCGATGGTCAAACACTGAGAGTCCTTTGACGTCCTCTGCGACCAGATTTCTGACCGGTACAGTAACATATGGCGCATCGAATAATTGTAAACTCAACCCTTTACGGATAAGCTAATGTCACGCCTACGCCACAGGTGGTGGAGGTTCCCAAAAGCTGCTCTAGCCGACTGCAGTTTGGAGTTAAGCATAGCTAAAGAAGGCGTAAGAAAAGTACGAGCTTCTTTCTCAATAGCAGTAACCACTTGGCAGAATAAACTACAGAGGGAAGTGGTTGTAACTATATGTTGTTAGTCCCCCAGTTCGGCTTGGTGGGTCCTCAGAAACTGCTCTGGGAGGCAGTTTGGGTAGTCCCAGCGTTATCCACTATCTGCCTGCTTTGCAGCCTTGAGGTCCCCTTTTCGGTTTCGATTGTTTGGCTTCGTAAGAAAGCCTTACTTGTGCCGCTGAGAACATAAAGAGCAGTGCTACACCTTTTTTCACTTGTGTCCTTCAGGTGAACGACAGCTACTGAGCGACAAGAACAAAAGCGACCCGGAAACCTTGGGCATTAGCCTCGATCCTATGTGTCAATCCGTGAATCCGTGAGTGACCTTGATCGCTGCGGCAACCGCTTGGCGACTTTTGAGTATCGCTCCACAGAATCTTCACCGTTCTATTTTTTTCCTTTCAGTGAGGCCACTTTGATTTGCTTTCTGCACTTCCGACCATGACTTCGCTTGTTATTTGGTATTCAGAAAATGTTTTAGGTGATACATTAAATGATTACTTGGTCCATTTCGGGAGATCCGAGCGAGCATTGTGTGGTGCTTTAGGTATCACTGATTTCTGCCATTAACACTGGCATCACGTGCATGCAGGAACCGTTCAAGGCGCCGGAAATTACAGTTAAAAAACGCGACACCTTAGGCAAAGGCAGAGTACAAACTTAACAAACACTAAAACACGTTGTTGTAGCGCACATAAACAGCCTGATACGCCTGAGTATTGTCCTCCAAAATGCTTGAACTACGACTCAGTAATCAACCCCGATCGACTGACCTGCCTGACAGGACAGCCGATTCTGTTAACACCGTAGATATCTGAAACTTGTGAATGTGAACTCTAAAAGTTCCCTAACCAAATGTCTGGATACCAAACAGTTATAAATTGTAATTTTTTGGGTCCTACATGCCAAACAGCTTGAGTAGGCTAAATAAACTAATAGCAAAAAAGAAAGTGAAATGTTCTGAACAAAAATAAGCTAAACTACAACCATTTATCAGCAGTTAGGAACTTTTCACATTTTATTTGGTCTAATCAACAGTTAGCCACCGATATTCCCATTTCCAAGAACTCAAGACCAAGAGCTTGCTTAATTAAGAAACTCTCACACCGTGTCCTTTGTCTTTCCACGCAGAAATGACTGGCTGGATTCTTCTGGAGTCTAAGCATTCAAAAGTATACCAAACGCTGATGGTTTTGGAGCCCTAGTGTCAAAGTAGTATGCCGTACGAAAGAACCATTATGCGAGTAAAGTATACAAAATGTTCCGCTTTTAGCGGTAAACTCAAGGTTGGTAACGTAGCGTCACTGAAATCTGTGGTGTGAGATTAGTTGGTCCGTAGCTCATTCTAGTGGGACTAACATCTTTTTCACCACACTAGGACTAAAGAACTCGTTGGAGAAGAACATGTAATTGTTTCGTAGCTACATAAGCAGACATGATGCAAAACTTTAAGCTTGGTCAGCCATAGCAAATCACTTTCATTTTAGGCCAATTTCAACCCTTCTGGAGAGTCTCACCTACAATGAGTGAAGTTGAGCAACAAGAAGGCGGTGCTCAGAAACCACCTGATCCATATCTCCCTTGGGGTTTTCCAGAAGAATTTGACCTCTGTGATGCAGTTCGAGTTAACGATCTGAAAAAGATCAGTCAGTGCATTGGAGATGGAGCTAAAATTGATTTCTTTGATGGATTTGGCCGAACACCCTTGCATTATGCCTGCCAATGTAAGTTTACCGAATCACAGTGTCACAATCATGGTTAGTGTAGATGGAAGCTATGAGGCTACCAAAATGCTGCTTGGAAATAAAGCTAAAGTCAACATCATGGACGCAAATCAAACCACACCACTTCATTTAGCTGCTAGAGGTTTGCTTATTTGACCGGATTAAGCCAACTGTCAGTTTAGGCAACCATCATGCAATCACCAAACTCCTATTAATCAGTGGAGCAGACATTAAGATTGAATGTCTAAGTGGATGCCGACCAATCGATTTTGCACCCTACGGATCCGAAACATGGCAGGTTAGTTACGAAGCCAGTGTTCTGTTCGAGAAGTAAACTACCTAGAGATCCACCTCTTGAGGCCACCTAATGAGCTGATAAGTAGCAAATCGCCTTACATCGTTCCACATATAACAGAAACTCAAAAATAGATGAACTGACCCACTTTTCTGAAGCAGGGCCTAGATATCTAGAAAAATATGGCGGATAGATAGAAGTAGACCAAGACAATGGTGAGTCAAATAGTAAAACAATAGGTCTGACAGGTTTTAACCTCCAAAGAACCAAACGTAAGGATGGCGGTGGCTGTGTGATTCTGTTATCGTCACGGCTAAAATGCCCGTGACCTGGCTGTTCGAAAAGCTGGTAATCCAGCAAACTCTGACAATTCTGAGGAAAGTAGTCCTTCGGTGCTCCGTGAGTGGAGAATCTTGTCGCTTCGCTGACGAATGCGGCATGTTGTCCTTAGAAACTCTGTATTCTCCGCAGGGGTATCAGACTGTAGGAGACGCTTCGACACGTTTTTGCAGCTCTGCATTTGTACACGAGATCATGAGCCAAAACAGGTCTATGTTTCAGGCATTTAGTGCGTCAAATGTTTTTAACTTCCTGCTAAGACATAATGTCCTGCACGTGTAAGTCCAGACTGTAGTTTGACAGGTGGGGTTATCGCATGAATTAACAAGGCATAGGTTGAGTAAGCAAACTTTAGACGTCAGTGGCAAAGTGGCGTGTTCAAACATATCGAGGGATGTCTTGTCATCTGGATGTGAGACTTCTAGCAGCGGAGCACAGGTCTCCGTCCAGCTGTAGCACCCTTTCGGTGCCTAACTGTTATGCCACCCGAAGGAAGCACGAGAGCTGGGATACCACCAGGTTGCCCAAGCCTAGACAGGAGAAATCGAGGGGCAGAGGTCGGGTTCGAACCATGGACCTTTCGGTCAGTAAATTTGCACTCTAACCACTTGAACCATCTCGCGCTCTCCTGAGACGCTAGTTCGTTGAAGGCTGGTGCTAGCAAGTCCACAACAGGGTAATGAGAAAAAAGTAGATAGTTGGTCAATCTTGGAGCTGGCGGAGGGATATGAAAACGACCAAGGAAAGTCTGGATACTGTCAATGAGAACCAGCTTCAAAAACGGAGTTCGCGTGATTGTTCCTGCATATGGTTGTAGATTCCAGAATATAAGGCCACTAATTGAGGTCTGTGTTTTTCTTGTTGACGTTTGTCCAGATTTCCTGATTGAGTCTATGAATCTGGGGTTGTTTCATGAAGATTGTAGTAAACTTCCACTAGGTCCACTATCATTCCCTTTTATTCTCTTCTTCACTCCAAAGCGAAGCATTGATGTTGAATACCGATTTTGTGCTGTAAATGACGGTTATGACGATGTCGTATTGTCCACATGCACAATCACGTTTAGGTACCTTCCCCTGACCACATAACGTTGTTAAGACCATCTCCCCTCCTGTACATCAGCCAGGCTGTCAATACATATTTGAAAAATTCGGTTTAAGCTACGACGGGAGCAAGAGGGTTGCATCAAACAGACTGGGTTGTTGCGGTCTGCCTACCGGTAGAATAATGTGAGCTTGATGACAACAGTGGGGCTCTTTAATGAACACAAAAAGGGAAAACTTTTGTAAAACTTTCACTCGGATAGAAAAGAGACAGAAAGCAAGGCTCGCACTACACAGATAATGGAAACGTGGGGTGTGTACGTGGCATCAGAGTTTGCTAGAGCTTTCAGCGCAGGAAAAAGGTCTTCATTTTCATCCTACATCGCTGCTTGTATGTTTTTCGGACCAGTTTATCGGGAACATCCTGACAAAGTTAGAACAGAGGTATCAATTCAAAGGCAGTTGACGTTAAAGAGAACACAAGCAGCTAATTTCGCTATTTCAACATCGTTGTGGCTGCGTTTTACGCTGGAACAAAACAAACAGTGAATATACCATATGGGTGAATGACAAACCTCCGTTTTTTAGTGCCTGAACATGAAAATCAATGGGATGACACCATAGTGAAGGATACGACTGAACTCGCCCCGGTCTACTCTCTTTTTCTCATAGAATCACCTACATTGTGGATAATACTTAACTCGTCCGGGGAGCCGCTGTATTACGCTTTCCATAGTCCCACAGGCGTGTGTTCTACCTTATGGTTGTGATACTGCCGCCAGACTTAACCCCATAGATCAAACCCGTTCGAGATGGGTCAACGAACACCCGTTTCTAATGACTTGAACCATTTCAAACCCGTAAAAGATAATTGCTTTTCGAGTGCCTTTTTCATTGTGTGTAGGTGCTGCTGGATGCAGAAAACGGCAAGCTTCCCGACTTGAATGACTTGACGAAAACAAAGCTGGGTCCACTCGTGCCAAAGTTTGCAATACAACGAGAAATCGAGAGACAGCGTGCACTAGAGGCAGCCAAACAGCAGAAGAAAGGGAAGAACAAGCAAGGTGGAGGGAAAAAGTCATCCAAGAAAAAGAAAAATAGATAACGAAAGTAGATGGGTTGGGGGTTGAATCAAATGACAACCGACAATCTCGCAACTACTGAACATGAAATGGTGATTTTTGTATCGTTTTTTGCTTACCTGTGTGAGGAGATATCACTATCATCAACGTTTTAGAGCTCTTTTTCCTAATGAAAACCCAGTTAGTTAGTTGTTTGAATGCGACAGAGTTGTCCATAACGAAGCTTATCACTTTTATCATGGAGGTTTTTATCAGCAATAGTTCCGACACGTCTGACGGACACACATCTTGCATGTTCAGTCATCGATTTTTGACCCCACTGTCGTTTGTAAATGCTTCGTTTTTTCTCTTACCACAATAAATTGAGTTATTTGATTATCCTTATAATCCCATCCTCATAAATGTCAGATGGAATACTGAAAGAACCACTCAGCCCCTTTTTAACTCACTTTACTCATTTTAACCCCAACTTTGAGTAGTATAGCGACGGATGTCCTCGGTTCATTTCATACCTAATCTAAGGATTGTTCTCACTGCTGTCAGGACAATGCCTCGAACCACCGGAGCGGTTTTCTGCCTAAATCTTCTCGGAGCCTGACCACCCGTAGGATGCATGATATCTAAGCACAGGTCGAAAGCTTTTGTCCAAGCTCTCCACCCCCATTCTTCTAACCAATATTAAGATTTATTTAAGTAAACAAATTAATATACACAGACATGCAAATTGTTTATGTTCAGGCCCGAACTTTCACAAAACAAGTACACGCACTGGTACTTCAGAAGCGCTGCATTTATAAGACGCGGCTGTTCCCATAGTAGCAAGTTGTCGACGTCAGCTTGCATCCTTCAGCAGTGTGGAAGTTCGCGTAATTTTCCGCGTAATTTGAAAGTTGACGGAAGCGATTGTTAAGAGTGGGTTTTTCAGAAGAGGGTCATGATTCGTGAGCTCATCATCATCACCATCAAAAACAGCGACATCATTGTGGACACTGATGCTTCACTAACGTACAACCACAGAGTCACCTAATTTTATTTCAAGCCTTAGAGTGGAAAGAAGAGAAAGAGAGTGGGTGAGGGAGGGGACTTAGTGCTGACAGCACGAAAGCCACTGACATCAATCAGCCGCCATTTCTTGTAACATCTCCAGAGAAGTACAGGTGGGGTCACGGGGACCCCGTCCGGCAAGACGTACAACACCAAAAACACCCAAACTCTTCGTGATTTTTTCACGCCCTTCTGACAACTCATGCGTTGTCCACCTCGCAGTTTGCGCCATTCTGAATGAGGCACGGAGAAAAACACTCACCTCGGTGTTTCGGCATGCATAGCACATGATCTAGCCATCTTATTCGGTGGTGGTGGATGTTTTCCCCGATTCAACTACCTGCCACACAACCAACTACCCGTTTACTAACACGTTGACGCCATCCAAAACCAGTCAAGCTTGTGAGGCATCAGTGGTCGAAAACCTGAAGACGCCTCACATCATCTGTCCGCAGAGGACATGTTGGAACCGAAGGCTTGATGGGACCCTTTGTAGTTCACAGCACACTGATAATTTTCTGCACACAGTTCTTCACTTTTAATGTAACCATTGGCTGTGAAGCAAAAAACTCGACCAGACTGCTGCTCAAGTCAGGGACTAGTTATCTTAGCTTTTGGGAAATTCGCCTACCGGATGGGCTCCAAGGAGAGCGAACCTGCTCGTGGGCTGTTTGAAGATTTTAACCAAGCATCCCATACCACTTATGCCAGATGAAGGCCACAAGTCATTCAGTTTCACAAAGAAGCTCGCGGTAACTTTCACAGTCAGAGCTCGTTGTTGAGGTGATCTGAGGTCACCTTGGCTTTGGTCGATTCAAGTGGTTATAGCGTGAATTTACTGACCGGAAGGTCAGTGTTCGAACCCGGTTTGAAGATTTTAACCAAGCATCCCATACCACTTATGCCAGATGAAGGCCACAAGTCATTCAGTTTCACAAAGAAGCTCGCGGTAACTTTCACAGTCAGAGCTCGTTGTTGAGGTGATCTGAGGTCACCTTGGCTTTGGTCGATTCAAGTGGTTATAGCGTGAATTTACTGACCGGAAGGTCAGTGGTTCGAACCCGACTTCTGCATCTCGACTTCCTCTGTCTAGGCTTGGGCAACCTGGCAGTATCTCAGCCGTCATGCTTCCTTCTGGTGGAATAGCAGCTAGGCACCGGAAGAGTGTTACAGCTGGACGATCACACAAAGGTGAACGCACTGAATGATGGCTGTATTCTGCCACGAGTGGAATATTACCAAGCCCTTTTGACCGTCAGTTACCTCTCCTCCGACTAATCGTGCACCCGACTCCCATGTCTCTACAACCGCGAATGCTCTACCCTGCTAAAATTAGTATCATACACATGCACAATTGCTTTATCGTTTGATGTATTATTTGTCTGACAGATTCTTGTTTTTCACGCACAGCAAACCGACATTCTTCTAAATACGATATCCCCTTTACCAAAAGAAACCTCTGTAGTAAAACCGTATACGCACCGCACGAATGCAGGATATAGCCCTTTTGTCCATAAGCGGCAAAGTCCAAACGTTTGTTCTACCGCCGTACTACACAGATGCAAGTGTACGGAATTTCAAGAGTGGTACGGACATAGCCCTGAACAGCGGTTTTCTGTAAATGTGGCCTCAAAAGTGGTCAAAATGAACTAAAGAAATATGGAACGCTGTACACAGATTCGTAAGAAAAGACATTCAAACCGAATGCACTGAGCGCAGAAGATCAAAAGTTTCTGTGCTAAAAATACCCCTGGTTAGACCTGTGTGCAGAAAGACTGCCCCCATGCCATCTTCACCTCTAAACAAGTTCATTTCCTATGAAATTCTTGACGGTAAATCAATGATTTTCCCATCTTTTCCCCTGTTGCGTAGATGATTTCTTGCATGGCTAACAGACCTATCCTAACAGTGCAGTTGGATCGTGGATTTTGATGCTCGAATTCCGGGTTGCAGACATGGTCAAGAGTGAGATTAGGTGATCCCATTGCAATATAATGCTGACTGGGCTCGGAGTTGATCTGAATGGTGTAACCAAAGCATCGTTCGGCTGTGAAACCTTTTCGGCGTCCAGCCTACACACCACTCGAAGGAGATACGAGGACTGAGATAATGTCAGCTTGCCCAAGCCTACACAGGAGCTGTCGAGCTGCCAAGGTTGGGCCCGAAACCCGGACCTCCCGGTCACTAACTTTACTACTTTCACTACGGTTTCAAATAGAGAATGAAACAGCATCAAACCTGCACACTGAAGTACGGACCAAAAAAGATGGTACGCTGAACCAAATTGGCAAATGAACCCATTGTTTCTCACGGTGCTTAGGCTGAACTACATGAAGTAAAAAACCTCAGATTTTGAAGTTAACATCTTCAGTGTACCAGTGAACACTAATGGGCGTTGTCTGAATATCTAGTACTCACAAAGACAGACAAATGCATCGGTTGATCGAATCCATCGTGAAGTACAATGCCTCTACGGTGGATTCGATCAACAGATGCATTGCGCCAGATCCAATTTACGTAGCACTATGTACAAAGGACCAACACCTCAACCGGAATACTCATGGGGAGTCGAGTGTCGGCTTCACAAGCCAAGAAACAAGGAACAGCTTGGAGTCGGATCAACAAAGGTCAGAACAAGGAAGGAGATCACTTTGGCATTGACCAGAGTACGCGGGCAGGAGAGGCCAAGCTCAAAAGTCACGTGACCATCGACCAATCTGGACACAGGATAGCAGAGCAGCCAATGGAACAGCCCGGCCGAACAAGTAATCATGATCGGAGGTCAGCTCTTACTATCAGCATGTTCTTAGTGATGTCACCTCGGTTGTTGATAATATAATCGCCCAGCTCAGAGAACAAAGCATCCGCGCTACGTGAGCTACCAGTGAAAGAAAGAACGCCTTTGCTGCGGAGTAATTGATGCCAAGTGACCAGTTACAGACTATTGGGCAGGGAAGCAAAACTCTCATATGCATTTCTTTTACAAAAACTGAACATCCATCTTCTCTTGAACGCGTCTTCCTGAACTTTCCTGGATAGTCATTGACTGTTGCTCAAATCCAAGCAAATGCTACAAAGTGACTCCACTAATTCCGCAACAGATCTCCATCTTCAAGGGACACAAAGCGAATTTACAAGAAGAAAACACTACTCGCATACCTCCCCCATCAGCAGTATCACCGTTACACCAGCACTCTCCCCTATAGTTCCATTGTTGATACTCACGGTTTGATGTGAAGGATGTATCCAGATCGTTGATCACTCTTCGCTAATTTTCATACATTGTCAACTGTAATATGTTGGTGATTAGATAAATTTCTTAATCATATACTGTAGTTTTATTTCCACTTTACTTACTTTACTATAAAAGTACGGAACTGAGGAGTACAAGATTGTCGTGCATGGCATCCAAAGTGACCTTCTTGGAGGTTACAACTGACTACTTCTCCGGGAACCACTGTGAATTTGACCATCCATATGGTGGAAAACTGAGGTTTTACAGTAGTTTGTATAGCGGAGGGCTTGATCATTGTGGGATCGGCTGAATGTGTTGATATGCGAGGGGAAATTCAAGGTTAAATTTGACGCCGTATTCTGACTTGATCAAAATGATGACTTGATACACCCCGAAAGTGAGAACTATCCCGCATGACCTTTGACCTCTGAATCGTCACTGGATATCAGATAAACATTGCATTTCAACCATTCTAGTTCGAAGTCAAACATCACAACTTGGCAACCAATCGTCCAGTCAAAAGAACCGGAATTCGAATAGATTGTGCACTTTATTCACAGTCGGTCCACATTAACAGGACAACAGAAGCAGAGGACTTGTCAGTACGTCTAGGCACATAGAAAAACACGGAATACATGCTTCTACGGGCTTTGGGAAATAAAGATCTTTTGAATCGACAAATTGGCTGTGGGCTGATGAGCACGGCAACGGAGGTGAGTGGCTCTGGTTGTGATGGTAACGATTTCCCCTTTGCCCCTAGATTTGATAACATACAGAGCCGACGTTCAGACTCAACGAGCTGAGGCCGGATTGATCGAAGCTGCGCACCTTGAAGTCGATAACAGGCAGTACTTCGAGATCCGTAGTTTCCACTCGAATCTTCGTGGCCGCTCCGCGATTCATGTACTTTAGAGAGGGGAAGAGCGAAGCACAAAAGTGCATGGTGTCACTTGGAATTAGGGATTTCAATGCAGGTAAAAGCGATGTAACTGGTGTGTGAATTTATCCATTCTGGTGAAAGGTACTTCCATATGGCAGCACTTCATCAGCCGCCTTCATTGCGACTTACTCACGAAAAGAAGTGATGCGAAACTTAGATGTGAAAAATCAACACACGGAGAAAACATCTTATGAACTGCATGATTAGAAGATAAATACACGACTTTTTTGTATCATTGCGAATCGTGCTGCTAACAACCTCTATTTGTGGCCAAGTGCTACAGTATTGGTCAAGTGAACAGGATATAATCTCTCAAGAGTTTCGTGAAATGCACGCGGACGAGGATCTAAGCGTCCTATTTACTTTCAGACATCGCACTCCCATTGGCTACCTGCAAGGGGTACCCTCATTTTTATTCAAGAGACTGAGAGACACTGAAAAGACACGCAGTTCAATAGCCATCAGGCCTTAGTGAGATACACTCATCTGCATACGAATTGGTTTTCAAGGGAGGCCCAACTGGATCTCTCGTTTATGTGTCGCACCAGGCCGTCTCATGTCTCAACTGGTATTGTGCACCAGTATCGCAATAAATCGTATAGGTGTAAGGTGCTACTCATATGGTTACTGAAGACTCTTTAACAGCAAATTCATTTGAAGAGGTACATCATAAACGAGCGACCCAGTTGGACCTTATGTGAAAACCAAACTGGTATACAACTGAGTATAGTTCGTTAATTTCGTACAACCTGGGTTTGAGTAAAGCATAAGGCTGACGGAAACTCGGGGACTGCGTCTACTTGATGAGCCCAAAGAAGGGCAAAACCGGTCATAGGCTGTCGAAGAGTTTTCAACAACCTTGTGAGTAGTACAACACGTCTACACATGTATCGCGATATCTCGAATATCGTAGCGACTGAAACATGGGGCGGCCTGGTGCAGCACACTCGGTTGCTTAAAACACCACAAACGAGAGATTCATCTGGGTTTCAGGTGAGTCACCCGTTAAAACCAAATTGGTGCGCAAATGACTATGCTTCGTTAATTTCCTGCAATTTTTGTTCAAGTAGAACATAAGGTTGACGGCAACTCGTGGACTATGCCTACCTGATGAGCTCCAAGAACGACAAAACCAGTCGTAGGCTGTCGAGGAGTTTTCAGCAACTGCATTATTGATCAAGGCCTTCAAACAGGAAATTTAGAAATTTTAGGAAACATGGATGCAGTTTTACACCATCCATGATGTAACTCATCGGTGACAGCTTTGCATGCACGCCAAAAAGTGAAAATGCGTGTAAACCTACCTGGCAGCCGTCATACTCCACTGTAATACTAGTATCAATTCTGTCCAGTGTGTTCCGATAAATTCGCTTGTCCATATGTTCCAGTCCAAACCCGAGACGCTCTCCGCTGCCCAAGTCGAGCATTCGACCGTTGTGTGCCAACAAGGCGGTAGCAACGTCAAACTTCGGTTCGGAGAGCTTGGGATCCCAACGACCGTAGATTGCGGTGCCGTCACATAGGAACTCCAATTCTTGAGAGGCTCGTCGGTGTTGAATGCGAAGCATGTTGACTTGAGAATGATCTCCATAGTCATGTAGCTGAAGAGTCAAATGAAAAGTGGATGCTCATCCGTACCAAATTGCAAGCGCAAAACTGCGTAAAAATGACTTAAATGCCCCGACCTTCTGTCAAAATTCGCATCACAAAAAAATTCAACGCCATGCGACTAGACGTTTTGCTAGTGAGGTAGCTCTTCTCCTCATCCGAAGATAGTGTGTTCAATTTAGACAATGTACGGGGACATCTCGAATGATGAAAACGACCTTGTGCAGCGCGTTCAATTGAGGGACCCTATAAATGACAGATTCAACTGGGTTTCAGGTAAGTCTCCCGCTAGATGCAAATCAGTTTGAAAATTGGTGTGAAGCATGGTTTTCCTATTGCCCTCTTAATACCGTGAACCCGAGTCTGAATAGCTGCTTGATAGCCTGATGCGCTTAGCCAAACCAGAAAGCCAATGAACACGTGAGTCAGCTGATCTGTTGGTCACTGACGCGTACAGGTGTGTCATGTTTAGCCGAGAATAGCCTGTTTATAAAGCTCACGTGGAAAGTTCTGGGCGGGCCAAAAAGTGATTCTAAAAATAGAACTCATCTTTCAAGGCCAAGTGAAGGACAACCGATTAAATTTGTTCCAACAAAAACGGCTATTCCATTGGCAGTTGTGTAGTCCAGTTACGTTTGGAGCAGATCCTCCTAGCAAGAATGAGCGTCCTTCATAAATTGCGTCCAATTTCTGTTCAGTTAGTGCATTAAGTTGACGCCAACTCGGTAAACTCACCTTCCTGATGAGCCCAGAGAAGGTCGAAGCCGGTCGTGAGCTGTCGAAGAGTTTCTACAAAACGATGAATAGACTGTAGTTTTTCCTCATTGCAGTGCTTCCATTAACATGATTTCAGAAAGCCCCGAATCCTCGGTTAGTTCGGGTGCTTACTAGATATTGCATTCTATCGACGGGGCATAACTTTTCCCAAAATCCTCTGACAATTTGTTTAGTCAGCTACGAGTGGATATATCTATGGAGGTACCCTCTGAACCGCCAATTCATATATAGTAATAATAGCAATAAGCGTTCACTTGCGACACCCTTTCAGTGTCATCCTTCTAAGTCATCCGAAGGAAGCACGAGGGTTGAAATTCTGCCAGGTTGCCAATTCATATATAGTAATAATAGCAATAAACATTCACTTGCGACACCCTTTCAGTGTCTTTCTTCTAAGTCATCCGAAGGAAGCACGCGGGTTGAAATTCTGCCAGGTTTTCCAAGCTCAGGCAGGAACAGTCGACTTGCAGGATACACCACCCCACCTAACCAGCCCGTGTGATATGCCTCAACGCATATGAAGGTGTTGGCATGCTCATCCTCCTCAATGTTGCTCTTTATCCGCGTCACCTGACGTATGATTGCGAGCAATACGACAGATTCCGCAACCTATGATTTCGCCGAGTGTTTTTAACGTGCAGCGATGTAAAAAGGCAAAATGAGAAGGCCTGTCCACAGCCACTTCTTGAATGATTTTGTCCAATCAAATCATCGTGTAAGCCTTAAGAATGTAAGTGACTGTTATATCTACTGATTCGCCAGTCTGTTCTATTGGGCTGCTGATCCGCTCCAGGACCTAGTACCGGAAAAAAGACCCACAGAAGGGAACAGAACAGCCATATTTCGAACAAGCGAGTGCAAGAATACGACGGTCTCGAGCAAGTTATTGGAGGGACACTGTCTAACTTGGTCCAGTGATGACGCACACGGTCTGTTTTTGGTACGGGGCTGCGACGCGCTGCGTATTGCGGGGGCGTTGTCTGATCTTGATCAACGCTGACTCGCGCTGTCTGGGTTGGATACAAGTCTATGACGTGCTGCATATATGAGGGGGGCGTTGTCTGTCTGGTCAACATCTAGCAGAGCTGAGGTTCTCAGTAGATTTTGGGCATTCAGTGGTTGCTTTCAAGAATCTAGCCATCCTGATAGCGACCATCGTCAGGACTACAAAGACGCCCAATTGCTTGTCAGACTAGTGGGTAAAATGAATTTTCTGGGTCCTTCCGAACTAGTGCATAGGTGGCATGTGCTTAAGCAAAGAGTTGTGGTTTGAACTGATGGAGTAAAGCTGAAGAAAGGCACAACTAAAGAAACATAGCATTTTTCTTATAAAGTGTCACTAAATTCCTTCGAAATAACAAGACTTCGCTTTAGGACATTCTTAGATTCCGTCCAGTACGGCTTGGCACAAATTGTAGCAGGCACTTTCCTGAGGCGTTCTGTATCCAACGCACCTTCATCAATACCTGAAGACGATTCAGGCGAACATGGCTATTGGTGGGCGTTTCCAGATACATCACTGTAACTTTTAGGAAAACCGGGGCAAATTTGGGAAGACCTGTCACAGGCGAATTTGGTTTCCCCTGACTCCTTGAGAGAAAACCGAAAGGTTGATCACAATTCACGAACGCGGACAACACTGAATGGATTTTATATGGCCTAACTGACACATATCACGTCAACTTTCATGCAATACCGCAATTTCATTTTTATTCTAAAGGCTGGAATTGAATACCCCGTTAAGAAAAAAAGATAGGTGGATTGAGACAAATGACGGAAATTCAACGATCGATAAGTACGAGCAGCAAGTGTATGGGACAAAAATCTCTGTTGCAAGAAAGTGAGTTGGAAAAGTACACGTCCACAAGATAACTACAGCATCTTTGTGACTTCCTTGGCTCTCAAGTGTCTGCGTTCAAGCACGGTGGTTGACTTACATTCGGGGGTTTCGTTGAGTTCATCACACGCAACTGGCTCTGCCACTCGCTATCGCCGGCGTGGGGTTTCATGTAGGTGGTTAGCATACCCTGAATCAAAAGACATAAAATAGTTGTCTTTAAATGAAACAAAGCCAAAATTGCGTAGTCATGAATATGACAGAACGGTGTACCAGCCTGTTTTGGACTACAGTTTTCCTAATGTCTTCCTAATGCCAATGATAGGCATTAGGTTAGCCACTTGCTACCCTGATGCGCTTCGCCAAAACCAAAAATCAATGAACGTGCGAACCAGCTGATCTGTTCAAAACTGACGCGTGCAGGCGTGTCATGTGCAGCCGAGGGCAGTCTGTTTACAAAGCCCACGTGGAAATTTCCAGGCCGATAAAAAACGATACTAAAAATAGAACTCATCTTTCAAGGACAGGTGAAGAACAACCAATTAAATCATCTCAAAGAAAACGGCTATTCTATTGGCACTTGTGTGACCCAGTTATGTTGGGAGATGGTTCTCCTAATACAACCCTAGCCAACTGAAAAACCAGGTGGTGGGTCTCATGAATCCCCATAGCGATGAATGCGAATAAGCATTCAATTTATGCACATAGTTTGGCAATGCTGCGTCAGTTTAGCCTAAACTATATGACGCCATCTTCTTAGCTGTTGGGAGCTTTCCAGCCAGTTCCTGATCTGTAAAGCTTCTATTTTAGAAACAGCCTGAGATCCATGTTTACTTGGTGAACGACGTCACTCTTATCTCAAAAACCCAACTAGGTATTCTGTGATCGCACACAAGCGAACCGTCGTTCACCATTATGCGCGCAGTTTTCTTTACGGATTACCAGTACTTTTGTCTTATCGATGAAGTGACTACAGGCTGGAAACTATGACAATGGTCCACCTAGAAGTTTGTTGCAAAGCAAAATAGCTAAGGATGAAAACACCGCAAAGGCCTTTCCTACCTACTCGGTGTGACCTTTACTGACCTATGTTGTCACCACGGCCTGGTTCAGACGGTGGCCAATCATCTCGCAGTTATTTTTAAATCACAATTCAAAAATTCCTTCGGAAGATTAATGGGCTATAAATGGAGCCTGATCCAATAGTCTGCCTAAGTGTTTTACTTAAAAGACAAACACAACCACCGTGACTCTGAAGACGTCATGGTTGGCATAATTTCATACTACTTGTGAGTAGTTTAACCTAATTGTGGAGTCACTTGGTCGAACACTGGGTCACGTTGACGGCTGTGGTTTGGTCAAACGAGTAACAGCGACTGTACGTCAGGTCCTTGGGTGCAACGTAGTGGATCGTAACGACAACACCGATTAGGGACTTTTGAGCGGCAATCTTCATTCATCCTTCTGTGGCAGTATTGCACGATGCTGAATGCTAGGTTCTTCACCTTAAAAGTGTTGTGCCTTTCCATGTAGTCAGTGGGATTCATCGTTTATCGTTTGTCTTTGCCATGACCAGTGTCTCAACTCAATATGTTCATTATTTTGTCTGTCTGACCTTGGGAAATGATTATATTTCTTTTTTATTTCTGTAAGATAATGCAGTTAACAATAAGCGCACCAGTTAATTATATCCTTTGTATGACTATTTGACTGCATGAGCTCAACACTGCGAACCCGTGTTGCGACTAGGGTATATTCATCATCATCATCATCATCATCATCATCATCATTGACAGCATGAAATCAGCGTTCAACACCGAGGATTCTCTGTCGCGTACAGCCATGATTTACCTTAAAGCCTTATTGTGAAGAAAATAATAAAGTTGGAAGGTACAAGAGACTCGATGCTAGCTTACTACAGTCATTCCTAGATGTCTGCACATCCGGACAGTGATTAAGGAAATCTGTAGAGAAAATGCCAAGAAGATTGCCACTGACACCGGTTGGCAGTCATATCTTGCACACTGGGGTATATCATGGAGATGAGTTACCTCAAATAGCAGTGACCGGGAGCAGACATGTGAGTCAACTACCTCGGTGACAATAGGTTTCTTACTGGATTTTGAGTATAGTGAAATCGGGCTGATAGAAACAACTCGTCTGAGAATCTTCCGAATGAAAAGGTTGATTGAAAAGCAAGCCGCAAGATGCAACGTCAAGCGTATGCTCTAGATGGCAGCTGACGGAAGTAAACAGGTCAAAAACGGGACCTTACCTGATCCATTGTAGACTCTACGCATGTCTCAACTCGACCATCGTCGTAGAATACACACTGAACTTTGATTGTGTCACCACTGATTCCTTCGTTTGGATCAATCCAGTAACTGTAATGGAAAAAAGGCACCTGTATGGTCTATCCAACTATTGAACTACTCAGCTCGATAAAATGGCCTTGTTGTTGTAACTCATATACGGTTGCTTATAAAAGCCTTGAGGACAGAATGGAAACTTGCCCCGACCCAATCATTAGTAGTAATCTTTAGGTCGTGAAGGAACAGGGATCAGATTGGGCTATCGGCTTCTTCTGATAGCGATAACAGCTCAAACTCGTGTGTGTAGGTCAATAGGAAATTATCGGTTTGTATTGCGAAATAACGCCTGTCAGTGCCCTCTATCAAATCGCCAGGCTCTTCTACACCGTTTTTTTGGATTGGAAACTTGAGTTATCGTGATACACGCGGCTAAAATTTGTCCACTGTCTCTGGGTTGTGTCGACCTTCGAACTCGAAGAGAATAGGTCAAGGAAGCAGAAGCTTAAACAGACTTCAGCTTGTCCGCACACATCCCAGCTGCGAGAGTTTTCGAGCGCGACCCAGATTCCTGGAGTTATGTTTTTCCCAGACGGAGTCTGACAAAAGATTGCTTTACTGGGGCTAAGATGCGTTGGTCTCGCTTTGCGTCCTGAGTAAGTTGTGTTCCCTTGTTTGATCAATACTCATAACGTGACCGATTCTTACTAGATGTCTGGTTATTCTTACTTCTAGGGTTTGTTTCTTCTCAGGACGCACCCAGACATGGAAAAAGTGACACATCCCCAAGGTCACCATCGGTACAGAAAGCAGGTGCGTTGGCGGAGCTCACCAAACATGGCTTTCCAACATGCGACCAGCGTAGCGGGCCTGAAATTGTTCACGATCGGAACATCCTCATTGGTTGTACGGAGCGAACAAGTGAACGACCATATTTGGCCATTTAGTCATCCTGTATATTTACGCAGACGCTCTGTATGTTTTGTTTTGACAATACAGCGGTGTCCCGAGTTCTGTCTTCTCTCTATCGCGTAGTCTGACAGGCTCAGTGCAGGCGTAACCATAGACGGCCACCCACGATATAACATCTCTACTGTCATCTTTTATGCTCAAGTACGGCCTTTTCATCATCCAAGCTGGGTATACACAATGGCAATGTGGAACCATCTTTTTACAATGATTTATTGTTAGCAGTGAGGTCGTTTTGTGAATCAATTTCTTCCACTTGAAAGTGAGTAGTCCTGGAAAACCTGAGCGAATCTATGACTGAACCTTCTGGCTGCGTGAACATTCCAAGATTGGTCATAAGAACATCTACTGGATTGTTTCCGTAGGTGGCTGGTTGTTGGATATTTGAGTTCGTACAAATTTAATTCGGGGAGGACTATGAATTTGCAGCTTGATAGAAGGATTAGCGAGACATGTTTGTAGTTAACCCGATGACTTCATCACCTAAAAGATTAGGTGACGTAATTCGACCGAAATTCCGTGCGTAAAAACCCTGCAGACACGTGAGATCCACGCTACCTCTGATCTCCGATAAGGAAGAAGCAATTGTACAGTGCTTCCCAACGTTTCGACATTGATTGACTTCCCTCACAGCCCGAAATATCGAGCAGAAAATAATCATTTTTCTATCGGTCTCTCAAGTTGTGCTTTATTTTTCACCCCTTCTTGTCAAATTTGAAAAAGTCGACCGAATTCAGTCCAATCTTGGAATAAGCTATATTAGCTCCAAGCTAGTACCCACCCACCCATGGCAGGGTGGAGATTCAAATGCTCACCGAGCTTCGCGAGACAGTCGTTGTCAAAAAACCAAAAAAGTTCTTCTCCGCTTCCAAACCTGCATAGTATAATGCACAATTAAATTTGTGAAACATCACATCTGTTTGTATTCTAGGTACTGTCAATTCTGAGGAAGTCTTTGCAGACTAGGATTACAGCACTGAGTTCAGCAACATACAAGGACGGACTGACTCTCTCTTGAAGGACCCCCTGTACACCGATTACTCATAGCCTAAAGCGAGGTACTCCCAAAGTTGTTCGATTTTTTTGAAAAAATCAATATGAAGGCGTTCTGCACCGCTCCACATCGCCTTCTGCCTGGCCATTGGTTACAGCGAACGCGCAGTGTGACCAATGGGCGTAGTACTTGGACAAATGGAAGTGTCCTTCAAACAACGAACAGACGATTGGCGAAAAACAACTACCGATCACTCTGAATAGCTCAGATTATGGAGGAACACTGTGGTGATCACTTATAAACTCAACAAAGATGTCAGCATTGACAAGCAGGACATATTTTTATGCTTTCAAAAACTATCAGTGTTTTGAGTCAAATCCATGGAGTCAGATAAATGCAGACAAGGTACAAGCGGCTAGCCAGGTATACTTGGGAGAATAGCTAAAAGCAGCAAAAAATCACGAAATAACTTGCGTATCGTTTTTGGCAAATTTGTTGACCAGTCGGATGTCTTTGCAGGTGCGTGCAGGGTACTTGATCCTCGTTCCCTGTGGGTGACGAGCGAGCTTGGCTCTCTTGTACAGTGTGTCAACCCGTTGGAATATCCTGGCATTGATATCCTCCAGCGTTTGTTCTGCAACGATACGTAACTACAATTGATGAGACATTCTAGAGCTGCACAAAAACAGGATAACGTAGGTGCCCTTACAATACCCCCACAACTTTTGCTAGTCATAAATTAATAAACGGGTTTCGAACAACCGAACTTACCGCGAACCGGGTTAACCGACCTTCTCACCCTGCGTAGGCCGTTTTCAGGTGCATTAGTGACCTTGACTTGTCCTTGTGGACCTGGTCTGCCCATTGGTCCGGGCTCTCCAGGTTGGCCGGGTTTTCCACGAGGGCCTGGAAACATCGATAGCTTTTCTGTTATGTATGAAAATTACCCCGCTGGGAACAAACTAAATAAAATCAGATAAACACAAAAAGTTGCAGAATCGCGGAGATAGAGCTGGTAAAATTACCAAAGTTCGATACTTGGCAGAGGTATCCTTTCCCCTCAACTCACTTCCTGAGGGAGCTGCCTCCTAGATTCCAAAAACTGTCGATGGAACAAATGGGTATCATTCCTGTGGGGCCCGCTTTTAGACACAGATTACTCAATCGTGTGGTGCTTGCCTTTCTTATATAGAGAAGGCTGTCTAAAATATCATTAAAACGGGCAAATAGACTCACTTCATTCTGACGATAGGTACCCCATGTGTAGTAACTGATTTTTTAACCTTCCGAAGTCTCTGAAACGCCTTGTTGCATGCGGATCCTGATAAGCTACATTTACAAGGTGTTCCCATCCAACCTCAGCAGACTACTCATGAGAATATTGAGTAGGATTGTAATAATGAGTGACAGAGGTACAATGTAGATTTTCTGCTAGGAATTGTTGTCCAGAGGCATTTTCTACCGGGTTGCTTGCCTCCTGGTTAACGAACATGTCAAGTGGGGTTTCCAGTGCGTCGGCTATCGATGTGATTTCTACATTAGTAGACGGGAAAGTGTCTTCATTTGCCGAAATGTCACAGTCGCACTTCCGACAGTTTTATCCCCCAGCAGTGTGTCATTACCAATCCAAAGAAAATGAGCTCTAGTTTTCGGAAAATTCGGTAGCAATCGGTAGATTTATCGCTGGGAAACGTTTCGCTTCGTCAGACCAAGAGACTAGATTATGAGGTTCGTTGTAGTCTAAGGCTGAAGGAGAACCAATCAGTTAAGACACATTAAATTGGTGTTAGGTGTCTGCTAAGGGATATTGTTTGTTGGGCCGGGTCGGAAAGTGCTAAGACTGACTGGAAAACCCAAATGAATTTGGGTCCAACCTAGGATCTAGTTTTTCCGGTTTGGTTAATTGAAGATGTCTGTTGAATTTAGTTTATAATTTTCGTCCGTCTATGTGGATGAGATGGTGCCACGACATTTCTGTAAGGGAGAGATTCCGTGAACTTTGTTCGGGTTAGGATTCCTATCCCCCTTTTTCTGTAAAGGATTCTATATTTATTGACTACCCCACACGGTCACGTGTCAACTCGGCCTATCAAATACCGCTGTCCATACGCCCACCAGTTCCACACCCTCGATTCTCCTCATGTTGTGATTTCCACCGCCTCGGCCATCAGCCGCTGTGATTCGAAAATTGTACAATCTCCAGACCAGTTTTGTCTTGTGTCTGACAAATGTGTCACCATCGTTGAGTCTTTGTCCAACGTTTGATATATATAAATCAATACAGTCAGGTGGCTTCAACACGTGACTCTACCATGCGGCCACATCTCTGGTCTACTAGTTGGTCCTAGCTACTTCGATTCACAAGAGGTTATCACGTCAAGCTAAAGGGAAACTTTTGCATCTCCGAGCCCATTCGTACACAACTTCTTTTTTGGGGTAGGGGGCTTGGCAAAAGAAGCCTTCACCAAAGGAATTATGGAATGATCCGTAGAGCATAGTCATGCTCTGAAAAAGCCGACTTTCATTTATCTCAGGTCACGTGCTGGAAGCCACGTGAACGGTTGGCGGCTAACCATTGATGAAACTTACCCTTCTGTCCTGGAGGGCCTGCAGGACCTTGACGACCCTGAGGTCCCGGTTCTCCATCATCCCCAGTAGGTCCACGAGGCCCTTGAGGACCGATATCTCCTTCACCTCCAACCTCTCCTGTCTCTCCAGGTGGTCCTGGGTCACCAATACTACCTTGCTCCCCTTGAGGTCCGGTTGGACCAACGGTACCAGGATTTCCTTTGACTCCTTTCAGTCCTTGGTCACCAGGATTGCCAACAGGTCCCGTGCTCCCCTATTTTGCAAAACAATATTGAAGAGAATAAATAGTTGGTAGCGTAACTGGACAAGAAAAAGACCTCCAAAGACAAAATTCACGCAGATGGCAGCACCTGCTAGAGCACTTTCCATTTGATACATCTTCATCAAGATAGCAACATTAGATGAGAAAAGTGGTGCTTCAGTGCAATGTGATTGTCATTTTACTTCAATAAAACTATATGTTGTGAGAGACTGGGCAGGCAGAGTACACGCGGTCAGTTCTTAACAGATTTCCGGAGTGCCTAAACTCAACCAGGCACTTTGGATGGAAACTGATGGCATTCAACGTCACTGACATCGGTTAGCCGTCGGTCTGCTCAGCAAGCAAAGAAAGAGTTGTGTGGATCTCATCCTGAGAGTCGAACAGAATCAACAGCACCCCGATCTTTTGTGACATCTTCTATTCCTTTCTGCTACATCAGCTTTTTCACGCTTAATTATGGTCTTAAATAAAATGACGAAACATAATTGAAACGGATGTCTGTGACAATCATGGGGGAACGCATATTTTTGTCAGAATAGGAGACTGACTTAATAACGTCATACATACCTGAGGTCTTGGTCACGAAAATGAAAGTTCATAGTGGGAAACTCTCATCTTTGGGCCAGTCACGAAATGTAACCAGGATAAAGCGAAAGACCGAAAGTGTGGTCGGTCTAACAGGATCCGAAAGCTTGCGTAAGCTTTCCAGATTCTGAAAGTTCATCCGTCTGACTACACCGGAATACATTTAGCTATCCAGTAGCTTATTGAAGTCACGGTGCTTATACTATATAATAATACATTTTTGGCATATTGATAGCATATATAGATGCAGGAGCCTCCGAGAAAGACGTCTTGCGCCCTTATTCTAATCAGGACCACTTAATGGAAGTCCCATGAGGTTTAGTTCGTTTCTTTTTCGGGCTAACTAGGGGCGTGATCTAAGTCTGCAAGTCGTTGTGTCTCCCTCTCTAGAAAGAAAAAGACATTAAGAGGTCAGAAACAGCCTCATTAGGGTGCTAAAAATGACGTCTTATGCAGTACTTTAATTGTAGCGCTCAAACCACGCTCATCAACCTGTTCTTCACAGGTGGGCATTCTAATCCATTCCAGGGTCTCCTCAGTAACACGCAACAAACCATTTGTTGGTGACGCAGACATTTTTAGTAATTGACTACCGCTCAGTGGAGGTCGTCTAGGGTCTTTCACTTTAGCTTTCAGTTTTGCTGCTCTGGAAGATACACTTTACCGATCGGCTACCAGTGGTTCAGTCCCTTCTGCAGTGCAGTTCACAACTATTCTCTCATCTGAAAAGATCATTTCTTAGAGCAGACCCGTTTTTTTGACAATTTGAAGCATATTATGACGGTAAGATCGTGCCAATGTCCTTCCTGAGCGTTTTCATTCGGTCTCTTCTGATAGACTCCTCAGTGAATAATCTTCAGAGGAGGGTCCAGCTAACAGGAGGCTTTAGGAAAGGGGACAATCCAGGATTTATGTGCCATCCGTAAGACGCCAAAATTCCAAAGTAGCCAGATTTGCTTGATGTTTCAAAAGAACCGGACAGTTGTTTGTGATGGAATCTTTTTCAGGAGAGAAAATACCACTGGCGGACTGACTATAGCAATCGTCAAAAAACACGAAAACTGGTAGTTCATACCATTCGGGATGGACTACATATTGATGCCGAGGCCAGTATAAAACAAGTGTACAAAAGTGGTCACGCCGCCACACAAACTGAACCCCCGGGCTACCAGACACCTCATAGAGGCGTAGCACGTCCTTAGACAACGTCGACAAAATAAATGTCATTGAGCGAAATTTTGATCGAAAAACATACACGTTTTCTGCGGCAATCAAAATTTAAAACGTTGTAGCGGAGGTATCAGATATGTCTAACTAGCTGAATAACTAAGCGACAAATAGTGGTACCGTCTCTCTGGAAGTTGTTAGACTCGATCATTAGACTCGCTTTTTCTAAGGAAGTGAAGACCAATATTCCTGACGGTGCGGATAGTTCAGGGCAGTCAATCAATCAATCAATCAATTTATCAGCTATAACCCGTGTTCCAGCTGCTACAGTTTCGATCAACACAAAACGGGGAAGTGGAATACAAAACCAAGTCTTGGAAGTGAAAGCGTGTTCAGTTTGTTCGGAAATTGGGTAGCTACGCAGTGAACGCGACAGCTTTGATGTACGAGCGCCACTGACTACGCGAGTCGTCACTGCCTTGTCCGTCGGTAACACACGAAGAGTAGAAGTCGTTTACTATCCAGCCGTCCTTAATAACCGAACATCACATCATTTGGACGGATGTGCCACGTACAGGACATGGACCAAACGAAGGCATGCCCTGATTGGTCAGAATGCCAGCCAATGCGAGTCGAGCATCTTTGATTCGACGCTTCTCGACCCCTCATGGAGATTCAGGCACGACCTTGTGGAACACTCTGCGACTACCCTATAAATACAGTTGTAATAATTTTCCTTTGTTTCCATAAAAGGCTGTGTAGAGCTACGGTGCCTTTTGATATACCATAGTGGGCGGAACAGGAAGCCAAGAAACCGATACAGAAGCAGGACAACAGGTACAATAGCTGTCAAGACGGCGCTCCCTGAATAAACAAATTTGTCAATGAATAGGACACGGAAAACAAAACTTACTGGTTTCCCAGGATTTCCTTTAGTTCCAGGTTGACCGACAGGGCCTTGCAGACCCTAAATGGAAAACCGAAACACCATGTTAGGAAAAAAGTTGAGGCCACTTGGAAAACTCCGAATACTCAATGAAACTTAGTCCACAAGACTACTGTTCCTATCGTTCAACTAATCTCAGACAGTGAAGCTGTTCCTCACATTTGAAAAATGTCACCGTAACAATTCAATGCAATCTAAATGTCATCATTTACTTTACTGTGACTGGAAATCAATTCTGTGTATCGTGGCGCTTTCTGAACGATACTGTGCTCAAGAGTGACCCGGCAGGGATTCGTGCTCTATTAGACAAAACCCAGTGCAGTTAGAATGCATTTCACCAGAAACCTGGTTGTTTCTCGCATTTCGGTAGAAGTGGTGACGCGATCATCTTGTTCTCGCGTCTACGGAGGCGGTCTACTTGTGTGTGTGTGTGTGTGTGTGTGACAAACTCTGCAAGCAGGCTTCTGCACGAAACCATAGGTAAACCATAAGTGGCAAACGCTTACACGCTACGCCGCCAGGGTTGGATGAGCCAAACAAGCAGAGGCGATGCACTCAAAGCGAGTGTTCCGAGCACGTGCAGCTATAGAAGATCTTCATGGAGAAGTGGGTCGTCTTAATGAGGTCCTGTTGGCTCAACCAACGAGGGCTTGTTGTCCCAAATATATCTTAGTTGGTATTCATCCTGTTGAGTAGTACACGGTGCGAAGTACCGAATCAATGGAACCACAGTGATGGTGACTGATTGTTCAACCCCGTAAAATTTATATAAATAGATGGATACGTGACCAACGGTAATGTGAAACTTTCAAGGTTATAGTGTTGGTTACCATCCTTTCAACGTTTATCTTTGACCACTTTACCAGAGTTTGGTTACCACCCCATCAACGTTTATCTTCAACCGCTTTCACAGTCCGATTACTATCTCATTAATGTTTACCTTCATCCACTCATATAATCTGTTCAACGCATGCACACCCGCTGTTTCATTCCTGTCCGCATTATGACGAACATGCGCCCCACGACTAACCAAGAGTGTTGG